GATGTGGTTATGCCTGGAAACACAATCGCACTGTACGCAGATGATTGTAAAACATCAAGACTGATAAACTGTACATCAGACCAACATGATTTTCAATCTGACCTGAATAATCTACACATCTGGAGTCAGCGAAATCTAATGGATTTTAATGTAAAGAAATGCAAATTGATGCGTATCACGAAAAAAAGTATGCCTTTTCGTTCTGACCTTAAGCTGAATGAGAGCTCTCTGGAAGAAACATCTGAATTCTGTGATCTTGGATTAGTTACTAGTAACAAGTTGTCCTGGAATGCTCATGTTGATAAGATATCAAGCAAGGCTAACAAGATTCTTGGCCTTATTAAAAGGACATGCAAGGGTCTGAAAGATGTTAACATGTTAAGAAGGTTGTACTGTGCTTTGGTAAGGTCCCAATTGGAATACTGTACTATTGTCTGGTCACCCTTCACGGCTAGAAACATTAATAAATTGGAAAGGATTCAGCGAAGAGCCACCAAGTTTATTCTAAAAACTGATGATGATTACAACACTCGTAAAGAAAAACTGAACCTGTTATCTCTAGAGGACAGACGCTTCTTTTTTGACGTACTATTTTTTTATAGAGTTCTTAATGGGTATATTAATATAGATATATCCTCTTATATCCAATTTTATTCACATTCGGAAAGATACTCGTTGAGGGGTAAGGACGAACTTAAATTAAAAAAGAACTACGCGAGGACTGATACTTTTAGGTTTTGCTATTTTAATAGGATTGTCCACATGTGGAATGGGCTGCCACTATCGGTCCGTCAGGCTCCAAGTGTTTCTTGTTTTAAAAGGGGTGTAAGGGATTATTTGACTGCAAGATTTGATTGATTTTAGTTTGGATTTGTTTTTTTGTTAAAGGTGGTCTGCCGTGCATGGGGATTTATCTCTTTTGCGGACCATCCTTATGGCACCTTTCTTTTTACTCTTTTGTATTATTATCTATTAATGTAAGTAAGTAAGTAAGTAAGTTATATGTGTCATTAAATTGTAATAAATAAAAAAAAAAAAAAATTACTTGTTTATAATATAAGGGCCAAAATGTTCTCCTACTGATCTTGCACAAAACAGGATGCCATTGTTACAAAACAAACAGAAATTTCTTTACCTTGGCAGCCATTGCTAAGCGATTTTCAGCCAATCATTTTCAAGTAATTTTGCCTAGGCAATTACAAAAATTATGAAAAAATGCCCTCTGTCGTGACCAATCACAATTTAGTAATTTTGCCCCTTATATGATAACAATCATTACATAAACATGTAATCATTACTGAAATTACTTGATCAGGGATAAATAATCAGTGTCATAAAATAATGATACCTGTTCACTACATCCACCTTTGACTACAAGGATGGTGTTTACTCTCTTCTCGAGACTGAGTTCCTGCCATCTTTCACCCATAAGTATAGAGTAAATAAAAGCATTTTTCACTCATAGTTCCTATCACTGATCGCTAGTTTTGCCAGAAAGAGCATTGATCACTGACACAATGAAGGGAAAATTGACAATAAGCTCGTTCCAAATGTCAACAAAATTGAAATTTTCTAAGCTTTCGCAATCGTGTCCATGTAGGACAGAACCCCCTTTCCATTTGCAGAGTTTTGTGCAAGATG